ACCAATGTGACCGTCAACTGGTCGTTAAGATTGCATGGCCTCTGCACATTTGTGTTCCTGCTTGCACTGCGTGGTCAAACCAAGAAGCGCAACATGGTGATTTTGTGTATTATCTTTTGCATCTTTGAACATGCAAGATGATTGATGGCCTCCCAGTCTGGAGCAGAGACACAACATTGTGTCCCCTCCTACCTACCCCTTCTCAACCGAACTGTTTTCGATTTGAAGATTTTAAATTTTCACTTCCAACACTTCACAACGTTTTGCTGATGATGCGCTCGCCTCAGATGTCATTGTGTTCGCTTCCGAAATTTCATTGTGCCTACCCAGCTGTCGGTAGGCACCAGGCTGATTGAATACTGTACCAATATCTGCCCAAAAGGCGGAGCGGCTCTTGATTGCTCATGACCAGTTGTGTTTCTGCAGGTTGGTAAGATATTTCATTAGCATCAGTAACATCCGGCCATTCACAAGACTGGGGCCGCCATGGGCTTGATGGACAACAGGTGGTTATTTCAATGAGGGTTGACATCTCTGGAAATTAAAGTTTGCGGAGGGCGTAAACTTCAGGACTTAACTTGAACTTTCTTCGGAGATGTAGACTTTGGCCTAGGGAGTTTCCACATGTGAACAGTATAGACAGTATACTGTAGATCAAGATCAAAGTGCTTCCTCTGATGTGTTTCTTGTGACGCGGCTTGGCAGCTCAGCCAAAATAGGGCCCCTCAAAAAATATGTCTGGGTTGCCTGGAGGAAAAGTCTCTTGGAATGTTGACATGAGAAAGTGTTTGCAGTGGTCTGGAAAAAACAATAGACATCACATGCCTCTAATTGTGCATGAAACTCCTTTTTTGAGGTCCTTTAGATGAGACTCCGAGAGATTCAGGGGCATTATGCCCTGCAGTCAAAGGGATTTGGAATCATTTGCAGAGAGTTCAGTTTGAATCCAACCTGGCCTGATTTCTTGCCATCAAGATCTCTTGCCATCAATGCCCTTTTAGGTGTAAGTGAAGATAGCCGAGGCTGTCGCTTCCATGTTGTCAAAATTCTCTCGCGTTTGTGGTGCGAAAGCATGACAAAGAAGCATTCGCATCATCAAGCAACACGCCACAAACATATGTGACTTGCTCAAAGTCCGAGAAGTTGCTTTGGAACACGATAGAACTTCCCAAAGCAACAGTGTGTGTGCCGTCCAAATCTATGGAATGCTTCCCAAAGCAGAACTTTCTTCCAGACTACATCTGTGATTTCCCCTTCCTTTTGTCCACACCAGTGCCTGGGACTGGCACACGATGGGGCAAATCCAGACCAGTGGTCTACTTCGGACACTTCCCGGCTGCCTACCATGAGATATATCGTGGTACTGACCTGGAATGCATCCCTTTGCTGCGGAAATGCCATGCGCCGACGCTCATGGTTTTGTGGAACATCCTTCGTTTTCCTGTTGCAGAATTCTATTTCCAACCTGCTGCCAATGTCCCCGTAAACCTTTCCAGCAAGGGGCACAAAAAAAATCGAAACAAAAGCGTACCTGCATGAGCATACTGGCATGAAACCAGCTGGGTGTGTGTTGACGCCCGGGTTTGAACACCAAGTTGTGCCTCAATCCAGTCCTTGCCGATCTGAAAAGTATGGATGCAGGGCGTCAAGTGCTGGAGCTTTCGGCCTCGGAAGGGGGCTCTAAATAGACTGTAGACTGGGTGTTCGTTTGTTTTCGTACTGAACATAATTTGAGCCCCCCAATGTCCCATTTTTTCTCACGCTGCCTTGAAGCGTGTGGTTCCAACTTGAAACGCTCAAGTTCGTTCAGCAAGACGATGCCCAAATGGGTTTGGAAACTCTCTGTGATTTTTTTGAACAGCATTGACTGCGACACATTTCTGTGAGTGTATCAGCTGAGGGTAAATTGCTCAGGTCTGTTTTGCCCCACACCATCCCCACAGAGTTTCACAGATAATTAGATAATTAGCTATCCTGTTTGCAAGATTCATTAGTTTCGCCGCCGGAGATCATTGACCAGGTTGGGCATGAACTATGAACAACAATCCTAGGGAGCATTTCTAGGGTTTCAAGTTGACATACATAAAGAAAGGCAAGCTTTGTGCGCAGATGAGAGCCATCTCTCGCTGAGCATTGCCAAAGATAGGGTTTAAAATCGCCTGTGCAATCCAGATCAACATGACTAGTCCCTTCCTCAACTGGCGTCCCAAGGAAGGGTCTGGTGCGGTTCAAAATTATTGACCCCCTAAAATGATGGTTTGCGACTGCCAAGGAATAATTTGGTGCTGTCTTGGTGCCTTCCGTTTTGGGTTTTCCTCCAACCACAATTCAGACTTTAGCCCTTTCAAATGAACATTCTGACAGCATGCGTGCCTTGAAGAAATGCCGACAGCATACAGCGAGATGAACCTTTGCTGTACTCTAAATGATGGGTATTATGCACTTGGAAGTCTTCGCGTTGGTTTGCAAGATTCACATGACTCTGGTCTTTAGGAGTTATGTAAGGCTGCAAAATGCCCCCCCACTGGTGAGCAGGTGAACGTCCCAGCGAAATCTGTGTATTCAAGCAGTTCGTCCATATTTTTTCAAACATTCACCAGGGTGACGGGGCAGAGTACGCTGCGTCGCTTCAGTCTAAACGTTGATGTGTCCCAGCTTGTCTCTGGAAAAACGAGAACACTCATTTTTTTCGACGGCATCAATATATACAGTACCAGTATGGACCAGTGAAATATGGTTATCCAGGTATCCATATCAACCCTTGCCGGTGCCTTTGCATACGCAAGTGATCAGCTAGTGGCAGGTTGGTCTTGTCGCAAGTCGTGTCGGCTGCCAAAAACATTTCGCGACTGGAAAGCTGAACCTAGGTTCCATTGAATATCTGTCAGTCTAGAGATTTATCGCCATATCAGGGGATACTAATCAAATTGGTTCACAGCTTTAAACCAGATTTCACCACCGAAAAAATCTGGGCTTCATTGCCATTTCCCAGTTCTGTGCCCTTCTGCTCCAACTCCTTTGCTGAGGTCACGAGTCAGGCTTGGACGAAGAAAATGAGCTGCGACGACCCGTGAGTCTGGAGACATTTTGACATAGAAACGCCTGATATATGAGCTCATTTCCAGAGGATGTACTGATGTACCAATGTACTTCATTGAAGGATTTGGAATCATTTGGGCCTTTTTGGGGCCACTGAATATGGTGGATGTTGAATGATACGATTGTACGGCAGGTAGAAGATGAAGTTGCGAACATTTTTGGCAGTGCTTGCAAAGTGAGAGTTTCAAGAGTGTACCCAGAATCAGTGAAGAATACAGTTGCAGCGGTGCAGCACTTTCTCCCCAACCCTCATCGGATATTTTAGCAAGGTGTTGTTGATACCTACCTTTCTTCCACTTGACTTGCAGCGCTTCAAGCTTTTCCGAGCCTGGACGGAGCCTCAAAATGTCAACATGCGCATCAACGACATTACGATGATTTTTTCTGTTTGGCGAGCGCAAGCTGACAGCTCAAACGTATGACAAAACCAAAGTTCTTGGAACCACTTCCACAGAGCTGATGGTTTCATTCTTTGTCGGGTCAGCAAATTCAATTTGCAGGATCCTGTAGGGCTTCAGGATCAACAGGATCAAAGGACCACAGCGAGAGAGAGAGGGAGAGAGGGAGAGAGGGAGAGGTGGCATAGCAGCTGTGGAGCCTTCCAGTGTGATGGCCCTTGCGCTTTCAGAGGAATGCAGCTGGCTTTCTAAGCCGGTGAGATCAAGATTCCTCGCGTTTTCAGTGAGCCAAGTTGTATCTACATATTCCTGGGATGGCTTGTGCTCGCAACACCCAAGTACAAGAGACGTGTCGTCAGCGTAGCATCATAAGACAACCCTCGTTTGTGTAGCATCATAGCTGTGCAAGTGCAACATACAAACCAAACTTGAAATTTGGGCAACCCCCCCACCCAACATGTTGCGTTCTTGATATCTACACCATCTATACCTTTTTTGACCCATGAAGTTGGGATACTTGATACAGGTATCCAGGTATGGGCTATGCATCCTTGCAGGAGCCCAGGACTCGAGCCCTGGGAGGCTGGCATGTGGGATGTCCATACTCAAGGCTTTGGTGACAGATGTAGTTACAGTTGTAGCCTGAACGCAGACCACTATACAGCTCAGCCACATCCATTGTTTCCGAAGCGTTTTGCAAATCGCAGCCGGCAATGCAAGTGACAGTTGCAGTGGTTGCATTTTTGGTGAGAAGTCAACAGGTGCGAGAAAGTTGACGCCGAGGCGGCTGTTCGCAGTGCTGCTTTTGACTTCTTGGGAACTTCTTGATTTGAGCAAGGTCTTAGAATCTAAGGCAAATCAAGAGAAGAAAGATAAAGGATCTGAACAACATCATGAACACTTCAAAAGCTGTTCAATAGCTGAGAAGCAGAACAAAGATGCACTGGATATGCGGTATGCGCGCCTAAGCCTGATCCATCATGATCCTAAACGAATTGCTGAGGGATGCTCTCCTTGTAAAAGATGCCACTGAGTCAGGCAAATTCCCAAGTGCGAAGACTTTTATCCAAGGCGGGAGTAGCACTTTGGGGTTCTGCCATTCGGAAACACACCCAACCCGTCCATTTACCATACTGCCATACTGAAACTGAGACGAAAAGTATCTAAAAAGCATAAACAACTCATTCCGCGTTTTAATGTATTTTTGGGGCCAAAAAATTGCACATCCCTCTATTCTGAGTGAAGGATCAGCAGGTTGCACCACCCATCGCTCAGCTGCTCAGTTGCTTGGACAGCGATGAGAACCGATGGGTGGAAGACTGAGACGGTGACGGGCACTTGCCGAGTTGCGAACTTCGCAGTAATTCTAAGTATTCAAGCTTGATAGCTTGATAGTAGAATCAACAAGTTCGATTTTGTCCCCAAACATCAGAAATCAGAAAGGTCAGTAACATTTTGCCAAGTCAGTACTCTTGCAAGCTTTCATGTCTCCTGGAGGGGATTTTCCAGCGTCATGTGTTGTTTTGATGTTGGTGTTGCTGTTCTCTGGTTCAAGACCTAAAGATCCTGAAGTAAGGCAACCGGCAGAGATACATCGATACATCTCCTTAGAATGGCCACAAGTATGGCACTCTACCAGGACAAGTTTGTGGAGATCTATGCGGATCACATCAAGATCAAGTCCTACTACGCCCCTGTTTTTCGGTCCAAGCGAATCAATATCGGCAAAGAGTGTCGAGTTTCTTTCGCCACTGATGAGGAACTGGGCTTCACAAAGGTAGACAGAAAAGGCTGGGGAATGGCGCTGAACAATGTTTGGTGGGCTCTGGACATGAGGCGGGAATTCATTTTCGGAGGACCCAAGCACCCGGGCATCGTCATCACCGTGGGCAGAGACACCTTTCGAAAAGGTTTCAGCGTTGAGGATGGAGAAGCAGCCGTGAAAGTCCTCGAGGCTTTGTTGCCAAGAACATGGCAGTGATTTTTTTCATCCACACCTGGCGTGCTTGGCAGGTCCCTTTGTCTGCCTAGTGGAAATGGATCTTCTGGTTGAGACGTTGTTTTGACTCGACCTTGAACACTAACTTTTTGTACAGTGTTTGGTCGCAAGGACGGCCGCGCTAAACAGCCTGTGTTCTGTACAGAGGTTTGAGTGAAGGTCTACATTATACCCTTGCTTGTATTGCATGGAAGACCTAGGACAACGAACGTCACAGAACAAAAAGTGAGGAATGCGAGTTGAGCGTCAGGTGTTCTTTTGGGTCCACTGCCGGAGGGATTGCGGGTATGACACGGAAACCAAACGGAGATGCCTCATTTGCTTTCATGCAGCTCTCCAGAGAATGGGCTTTGTCCTAAGCCCGTCATCCAGTCCCAATGGTTAAAGTTAAGATCACTAATGTGGGTCAAAAAATCATAAACCATCCATTTGGGAATGGTGACCATACTGTAACACCTATAAAAATTGTGATTTGGAGATGGTTTATGGCATATTATGGCATTGTCTTACCTACATTACTGCCATATATCGCAATGGCCAGGGCGCTGACCTGCGCAGTGCAGTGACACGGCTGGAAGCGCGGATGCATGCGCTGGAGGCACCTGAGAATGGCCTGAAAGGGGAGCGACAATATGATGCCTAGGTGATCGTATGCATATGATATATATATAATATGTATATATATATACCGTATACATGTCTTCTGCAAAATATGTATATGTAAATATACACATATGTTTACTGTTTATACAATATACAAAGATGACATACACATAAACACTCAGTAGATAACCAAACAAAGAGAGAGTACAACCAACCAAAGCTGTCAAACATGGCAGTGGAATCACTATAGCAAATCTGCCGAAAGGAGCTTCAATGGCACCTTCCGAAAACAACTTGACTGAGCTGATTTGTGGCCCATGGTTGATGTTCAAGCAGACAACACAAGGCAGAATCTGCGTCCAATCCATCATAGGATCATTTCACCAATATTGTAGAGAAAACACTACTGGATATGTTTGGTCTAAAATCACTCGCAAGCAGTCTCATATCATATATTTGGAATATGGTATCCTCAGTAGTCAGACTGTAAAGTCTGTAGAGAATCTGGGTGTCCATTGTCCGTTCGGAAACAGACTCGCTGTGCAGGGCCAGAACCTGCGCTCCGATCGACGTGCCGCAGAGCTGGCTGGTCTCACGCAGGTGTTTCGAGCGATGGGACCGGTGGGGTTTGCTATTTTGTTGTCATTTTTATATACCATGTAATGTATATATATATACATACATAATATATATATATATACATATACATAATAGGTATTTTGATATGTTGGTGCCAGTTGGTGCCTTTCCACTTTGGCATGCCATGCAGGTGTTGCTCACATTTTCACCCAACCTTTGCAACTCTGAGGCCCTCACTGAGGAGCAGCGCGCTCTGCTGATCCGCTTGGATCGGTTGGAGGATGGCCACCTGGGGGACACCATCTGGAGGATGGCCACCTGGGGGTTTCCATAAATGGAGATACCCCATAGCTGGATGGTTTATTTCATGGAAAATCCATCTATAAAATGGATGATTGGGGTGTACCCCTATGACTCAGGAAACCACCACCTTTGACAGCCAAATGAGATGAGACTTTCTTGCACATTGCTGCATTGCTGTGAAGTCAAGGACTTGAAGCGAAGAGACGCTTTGCAGGTGCCGTTGCACAATCCAATGGTTTTTCATGGATTGAAAATCACGATCTTTGGCAATTTGGGGCACAGTTCCAAACAAGAGCCAGTCCATACTGTCATACTGTCTTTGAAGGAGACTAGTGACTAGGAGGTCTCTTTGTTTTTGTTCTTGAAATTGCCATGTATCAGTATCAGTGGCAAAACCCTATTCCTGACGGATGAGAACATGAGAGAATTGAAAGACGATAAAACTGTGGGAACCAATGGTCCGAATCTGAAGAGTAGGTGGTTTCCTGTCGGTTTCTTCCCCAATTCGACGGAGTCCAAGTCAGCCTCAATCACAACATGTTTTGTTGAAGCTTGTAAAAGCGCGTGCCCCAAAAAGTGCTCCGCACAATGACTGTCACCTCAGGTGAGTGTAGACGGTGTGAATTGAGTTCTTTTTCTTGATCAAGCAGTGTTCAAAACCCCTGTAGGTTGATGATAGTGGGAGGTTATGCTATTTACTATGTTGGGGACTATCATCTGGGAATCCTGTTCTTAACCAACCAGTTCCAAAATGAACGTATCAATACTCATCACCTGTTGGATAGCTCAAGCCCACTCAGCCAATCACGCATAGCCAATCTTCTGGATCTTTGGGTCATCAAGTTTGACCCAAAAATCCCTTGAATGTTGGACAACTTTGGCCAATATCAGAGAATTCCTTTGAGATTCTTGAATTCTGGATGGCTGAATAGAAAATAGATAATAGATCCTACCTTCCTTTCTATCTTGGATAGCACCTTTAAAGAAATCAACCTGGTTTGGTATTGGATCCCTGGGGTCCCATGGCAGGTTCCCGAAGATCGCCTGGGACGCTTGGAACAGGAGCACCGAACCCTGGCCTTGGAACTACGTTTGACGGCGTCGGTGGCTGAGGAGGTCCGCCAGGGGGAACCACCATGGCGGACCATGGAGGCTGCCAACAAAACTTGGTGGATTCCCAGAGATGTTGGCTTCCTTCTGGGATGATCATCTATGCATGCTTTGGCTTTAGCGACTGAGAACACTAAAGCCAAAAGATCGTGTTGAAATGTTTGTCAACATTGTGTATCCAGAGATTTATTGATTCAGGCTTGTCAGAATATAGTTGGAATGTGACTGGGAAAGTTGATGTATCCAACTATGGGCTAGGGGCCAGAAAACCTAGGACCTGTATTGTTTGGGGTAGATGGTGATCAGTTTTTTCCTCCTGACTGGGGTTTTCAGACTTCGCAGGACTAGAGAGTCTAGCATTCACAAGAATCCTTTGGAATCCTTTGAAACTATGCCATATTCCCTGCAGGCACAGCAGAAGCAGCAGCAACGGATTCGATCGTTAGAGGTCCCGAAGCTCAGAATCCAAAACGTTGACATGCTTACTGGTCGTATCTGATTGTATTTAGTCGTTTCATATGCTGCGAGATATGAGCTGCAGATTTATGTGTCAGGAGTCCATGGGTGCAAGGCTTCGAAAACTGGAGCATGGAGGATCTGATCTGTTTCTGGGGCAGTGGAAGAATGGACATGTTCACAGAACAGGACGTGAGATTGACTTTGGAAGAGTGATATGGCACGACGTTTCTTGTGATTGTCAGATCAGCCAGTAGGGACTAATGAAGTTTTTGAGAAGGGCGATTGGAGTTTGCGAAGCGAATCGTTTTCCCTTTACTTGCATAGTGTAGTCCTTGATCTATTATGTTTGGGATCCAATCTGGTATCCAACATTAAGGGTGGGATTGTCGTTTTCAGAGCATTCCTCATTGGTGTTCCGATGCAAATCAGCAACATGCTAGGAGAAACTGTAGTTGAGGTATTCAATTTATTGGAGAAACCAACGGCCAGAGCGGAGCCATGTGCGAAATGATTCTGAAGGATTGGTTGAGCTGGACCAAGATCCACCTGGATGCTTGAAACCCTTCCAATTGCAGCGGTTTTCCTTGCGTCAATGTGGTCACTAAGTCCACTTAGATACCAATGATGTGTCAGTTTGTTCTCTCTACAGCCGTGCTGCAGGAGGAGAGATGCAAGCTGAAACGGATCCTTCAGGCAATTTTTTTTTGGCGCGTGTGGGTTCAATTCTTTGCGAACATGGTGTTTGGGATATTGGGCCAAATGAGAGTGTCCAACAGCAATGAGTCTGCGTTTCGATTGAATGATAAAGTGGGTGCGCTTGAACCAGTGCGCCGTAGATAGAGATGATAGAGATGATGGGCACTGGAGCAAACATGGAAAGGAGATGAACAGAGTACCCTCCGGCAATCAAACATGACAATGGAAAATTCCCTGTTTACAGAGACCTCCACGTCAGAGGGTATTTTTTGTCTTTTGGTGATGATCGATGGTGGTGCCTTGTGAGTTCCGCAAGATATTGGTTGTGGATCCCTGCAGGCCGTAGCTGGTGGCCAGAAGTGTTTGGGCGGCTCAGCCCGAGTCAAGGGTAATTTTGACATATTGGGCTTGGGGTCAAAGTTATTTCTGATTCGAAGCGGTGGTTTTTCTTACAACTCATTCCATCAGTTTTTGTTTTGAACTTTTTCCTGTTGCTTTCCATTTTCTTTCTTTGTTTCCACTCGTTTTCCTTTTCTCGCTTTCCTTGATTCGACAGGGCTGCAACGAAGTTGTTTTCAACCTTAGTCTGAAAATCCATCTGAAGGCATTGTTTTTGTGACACCCTCTAAAAGTGCACCATCAACTGCCTTCTTTTTGGTCTTCTTAGGTCTAAGTCTCGGGCGAACGATGAGGCGCAACTGAGCAAACTATCTCCTATCAGAAACACACGCCTTGAAATTGGAACCCATACATAGAATTCCATAGAATTTCTTTTTTTTTGCCAGAGGTTTTGGATTCTGAATGCTGCTTGAGTGGTCGTCAAGTCACCTCACGTCACAGGCCAAAGACGTCTCACGTGTTTGTGCCGAGCTCAGGCCTTGCCCTTGCCACATATCGTAGAGACGGACAAAGCCACGGCTGAATGGATAGAAACCCTATGATACTTGGTTGTACCTTCTTTAAATAGTTTTTTAACATGACTTTATAATTGGAACTGGGTTCTAAGTTAGGACCTGACCACACTATGAATGATGGTCGGTAGGGGGAATCATCCCAAGAATGTTTTACTCACACTTAGGACCAAAACTCATATCATATCACTGGAACCTATCATGAATCATATACATGTTTATCTATTCGAAACTCGCACGCTTGGTCGCCATAGTAGCCAACATTCAGCGCATATTTCTTAACCGTACAGCAACCCCATGTATATATATATATACATATGTATGATATATACATGATATATCATAAATATATATTATCAGAATCATATACATAAATACACACATTAATCAAACATATATATACTGTATATATATTATATATATATATATAATTATACATATATAATATTATGTATATATATATATATTGATCACATATATGTGTATATTGATCACATATATACATATATATATACATACATATATATATATACATACATATATATATACATACATACATATATATATATACATACATATATATATATATACATACATATATGTATATAAGTAAACACGAGCAGTACCAGCCATATATTAACCACATATTAGCCATATATGAAACATATATTATAGTACTTATTTACTATAATCATTTACCATACATGATCTGCCACGGTTCTCTCCGATTGAGGTGATTCCCTGGAAGCGAAGCTGTGTGGTTTGACAGCCAGCGTGGAAGAGATTCAGAAGCAGCTGGTGAGCCCTGCAGTCATGGGCGGGGTGGATTCGCATTAAAAAATGGGGGACTTCACCTTGGGAAAATGGGAAAATGGAGATTTCACTTGGGGATATAATAGGATTATGATGGATATAATAGGATTATGATGGATTATGCAAGTTAAACACTGTGATATTTGGGTTGGGTTTTCACACGGTGGCCCGGCAGCCAGGTAGCAGGGCAAATATTCTGGAGGGAAACCACTGATTCCTTTTTTGAAGTTACAAGTTGCCGATGGGCGAGTCTTTTGGGATGGGGTCATGACTGTTACAACCGTAACTGATGATTATGAGCTCCGATGTTCCACTTGGGCGACGTGGGACTTAGCTTGAGGTTATTGAGCGGCAGTTACACATGAAAGTCATTCTGGGGTAAAATCTCTTGGAACGCAGTGTTTTTGATGGTCTGTTAACAGATTTCTGAATATCCATAGACCGATTAGAGAGACAGTTTTTTGTGCCAGCATGGATTGCCGTTTTGTGTGTACTGGTTCCAAGGTCCAAGGGTGAGCTGCGGATGGATGCATGATTGCAGCAATTTTGGCTGAAGGCAGCTACGCTAGCCGCTAGCAGCAAGAAGTAGGACATGTCAGAAGTGGAAGAAAGAAAGGAAACACGGAACACAAAACGAAGAGAGGATAAGAACTGAAAGATTGAACACAAAGGAAATTGCAAGGAAGTGCTGGCGTCAGAAGTGTTGGGACAACCGCCTCAATTTGTTCTTGAACAGATTGCTACAAGGGATTACGAAGTCCTATCTTGCAATGTTATTTTGGGAAAACGTGGTTCAAGGAGTTTCCAACGCAAGGAAACGGAGTAAGGAAAGGACATGTTCAGCACATTTGCAAGTATTTACTCGATTTGGTGGTTCTATCTTTCTATTGGATCTATTTGTTTTACTGGGGGGCGACTCCAATTTCAAGCCGGATGTGTTGTGGCTGCGGCGTGTGTCGCCGATTCTCCATGCTCCATGCTGCACATGTGGCTGCATGCGGCATCAGTCCTTTCACTCTGGCTACTTGGCTCAAGTTCTTCTTTCTCAACATGTTTTTTTCTGCTTATGAGGTTGTGGCAGAATTTGCTGAACATTTTCCCAGGAGCCAAATTTCGTTCCAATGCAACCAGTGACAAATTGGGGGTTAATTCTTGTGTGGACGACCTTGTCCACAAGCCTTGTTTGTTCTTTCAGGTGTACGACTAGCTCGTTGAAGCCTTCGGATCCTTCGGTGGGTTGGGGCAACCAAACCTGGCGCTACCGGTTATGGCGCGGTCGAGAAGACCTCCGCCAGCAAGCCACGACCTACTTTCACCAGGCGGCAAGGGGCTCCCTGCGCAGCTGGAGAGGCGGGTCATGGATGCTGGGGTTTCTTGGGGAAAGCAGGATATATAGATGTATCTCCGGTATTATTAGGTAATGTTGGAATTGATAGACATTAGTAGCAGGTCCAACAATCAGGAACCTGGGGAGAATTCTTGATGTCCAGTGATGCCGGGACGTCTCAACTCGTCTCCGAAGATGCACTCGAGGATCCAGCCTTGACCTCATGAGTTTAAGGATATTAGGGACTAATGGCAGTGGCAGAAAGCATTTAGCAGAATGAACAGAATGAAATGGTCCTGAGAGATCCTGAGAGTTCTGGGGCGTCCTCTCAAGGTGGCTAAGAGTGCAAACAGAACCGGTGAACAAAACACACAAACCTCGCCATCGATTCAGGGGTTCCCTGAAGAGGCTGCTATGGTATGGAATCTTTGCTGGGTCCACTGAAGCCCGTCTTTGACAGGCTGCTTCGGACACAACTTGGGCTGCACGACATGTTGAGCTTTCAATCATGACAAAACGGTTGGTGCAAGGGTTAATGATGCAATTGCTGGCCGGCGTTTTATTTTTTTTGGTCAGTTTAGTATCAAGCATCAAAGTCTTGAGGCAGCCAATTGTAGGCTTCGCACACCGGCGATGCCCCAACGCTGTTATTGCTGTCGTTGCTGTTGTTGCTGATGGGGAGGGTCGGCGGCAGAAGCGAAAATTCAAAGGCGAAGGCATCGCCGGATTGTAGGGCTTCACACACCGGCGATTCCCAAAGAGTTGCTGTTATTCCCCAGAATGTCGCCCTGTTGATCTGCTATTGTTCTTTTCTTCTTCTTCTTCTTCTTTTTCTTGTGGTTGTTGTGGTTGTTGTGGTTGTTGTGGTTGTTGTGGTTGTTGTGGTTGTTCCTGTGGTTCCCGTCGTTCCGTTGTTCCTGTTGTTCCTGTTGTTCCCGTTGTTCTGTTGTTCCTGTTGTTCCTGTTGTTCCTGTTGTTCCTGTTCTTGTTCCTCTTGTTCCTGTTCTTGTTCCTCTTGTT